TTACTCACTTTAAGTAATTTAATGGATTATGTTACAAACTGCATTTTGGGGTATGTAATTTGTAATCTGTAGGGGAATACATTTTAATAGTAACCTTCCCAACACTGTCAATATGAGCATTCGTGGTCTTGTTTAGGTTTTGATTTTAAACAAAAATGGTGAGAGTGACTAACTGAAAAAACTGTTGGCTAATGCTAACTAGCTTGTGACAATAATGTTATTTGAGAGGGTCTTGTCTAACAGCACATATCAGCTCACTTGTTGTAGTTTGAGCTAAATCAGTACAGATTAAATAAGAATATTAATAAAGACTGAGCAGAGCCTACAGTTAGCATCACACCCCCAGTGTTGATGACATTAGCTACAAAGTATTAGTAGCCAGAGAAATAGCATTTCTATGGAAACATTTGTGTTCCCTCAAGCACACAGTCTTTAATCATGTGTAATTTTTATTTTCATTTTTTTTTTAAATTGTGAAGATTTGCAATTAAATGTAGTGTTACCTCTAGACTGTACCTCTCCTGCTGTTCTGCATAGCTCAACCTAATTCACTGACGAGGTGTGGCATGTCCCAGTGATTAAACTTTTACTTGTAGTCATGGCGTCTGTCTGTCTAATAGTGGACAGATCTTCAACCTGTTGTTGCTTGCTTCAGGAAATATTTAGTGCAGGTTGGAAATTAGAGCTGCAGTTTTAGACATGAACCACTGCAATGTCACCAACGTGAACTCAACTGAACTGTTTAAATTACATTAATCGAAAATGCCAAGTATGCCATTGAAAACACATTGCTTTATGATGATTTGCCTTTTCATAAATACCAGTAAATTAATTTTGACAGTGATGCTGTGTGTTTTCTGTCTTTCTCTCAGGCTTGTGGAGACAGGCAGTGTGCAGAGCTTGTCCATGTCTGAAAGTCACCTCGCAGAGCTAGATGGAGAGACTCTGCGATTATTTGGACTTGGAGCCCTGGAGGCTCTTGAAAGAGGCTGGGGAGTTCAGACTGCTGGTGCTGTCACTGTAATAACCTTCCGTTATATCAACTTTGACTCTATTGTACCGACACTGCCAAGAATTAGGGTCAAATTTCCTAATTTGTTGGTAAGGACTAGAGTAGGCAGTAATTGACCTTAATATTGTTACAATATTGGCTGAGAATTGTATTATTACACTGTTTCACGTACTCTTTTGGCAGCATCTGATATTTTTGGAAACTAGTATTAGCCGACTGCCTCAGCTGGCAGCACTGGCTCAAGTGAGGAGATTGGACCAGCTCACCATCCATCCTGAAGGAAACCCAGTGGTCAGTCTCTCGCTGTGGCGCTCCTTTGTCATATACAGACTTCACCACTTTAATCTGCAAAGGATCAATGGGCAGGAGGTATTGTACAAAATACATTTTTACTGATACAGTCTCTGATATTTATTAAATTTCAATCTCCCACAGGTGACCATGAATGATGTCATTGCAGCAGAGCGTGTCTTTGGGACATTGGGTCATATAGCAGCCACTGAAACTCCACGTTGTAGACTTCTATTGCTCTTAGAAGAATCAAGGTAAGGTGTTGATGCCCATAAATATGGTTTGCATCAGAATATGTGATTGTAGCTACTGTGTCAGTGTACAGGACACAAGAGTAATGTGTGAGCATGATGTCTTTTTATCTATCTGCAGAACTAATTAATTTGTAGCGGGGTGAAGGGTGGGGATTTTGGCACTTAAACACCAACATTCTTTTTCCTCCTTAACCAACTCCTCACATCTGTCACTTTGTGGCAACAAACTGAATTTCCAAGTGAAAATAACACTTAACCATACATATGTAACGATTAGTTTGTTTTAAATATGCATCTGGTTGTAGTTCAAAATGTGTTTTTAGTATTTCATTTTGCAAAACATACTAAAAGTTGATAAAGTTGATATGACACATGTAATTGTATCCACACAAAGCAGGTGATATGTGTTGCCCAAGAGCACTAGTTTTCACTACTTAGATTGGGCTTCTCACCACCACCCTTAAGATTAGTGTGAGTTTGGCTGAACATTCTATCACTGATTCATCCTCATTGACTGTATTAAGTTCATATCCAGGCCATAACAGATGTTAAGCAGATGAGTAAGCAGCTTCAAAATAAAAACATTTAAACTAATAACAGCTGCTATCTTTTGAAATAATGCTGGCACAGCATCTTGTAATAAGCTGGCATTCTGGATATATTAGCATACAATCAAAAGTTAATTAGTTATACTTTTGGAAAGCATGGGAACTATATTTGCTATCATATCCTGTCTTCTTTTCTCTTGTCTTGCAGAAAGCGACAGCTTCAGTTCTTGTTAGAAGGACGTGGTCGGCGTGCAGGGCTAAGTCCAGAGGAGTTAAGAGAGAATGGGAAACTTCTGGGGGAAGGTCTGAGCAGAGCACTCTTCAACTATCCCAGTAGAGACAGCAATGCAGAAAGCCCTGAGGTCTGTCCTTACAGTCTCTACTTAGCCTTGTATGTTTGAATTATGGGATGAATATTATAAATGATATACATTCAGCCCAAAGCAATGATCATAGAAGAACATCTGCTCTATATGTTTGGTCATTTATGTTTGTTTTGTTGTAGGAGGGTACAGTGGAGTCTTCAGAGCGAGCTTCCATGACTGAGCAATATCTTCAGGATGTAGCCCAGAGGGCATCAGACACTAATCTAAAGGGTGAGGCTCTTCACAAGCTTTGGCCGTCCATGTTTGCAGAAATGGTCAAAGACTGTGTGTTGGAGATGAAAGACCAGGCAGCATTTCGTCGGGCCAGTTTAGCAAGACTTTCGGAAACCAAGTAACAATGATCAAAGGCTCACTGCGACTGGACATGCTAGTATATTCACACATGGACACAGCTTTCACCGCTCTCTTGTACTCAGCTTCATTTTTAGCACTAGAGTTAAATCATGTTTGCAAGGTCAGAGCCTGACATGTCAAAGGCATTATAGAGTGAATGTAGAATTTTCCTGAAAATCAGCAATGCTGGGAGCTATATCATTGTACTTGAAGACAGGCTAGAGACTTAATGACTCACTGTGCATTGTGGTTATGCACCCTGTGCACTTTTTTCCTCCTCAACATTACTGTCATCAGCTGTTACTGACCAGGGTGTATTTTCTTACTAAAATCATTTGTCTTTAACCATGCATTAATTTCTCACCTTCTGCCTGACTCAAATGGTCCTAAAAATGGACTAAACATTCTTGTTTACTACAGATTTTCTGTATTGTTAATATTAAAATATGTACAATTTCGATATTTTGGCATTCATGTATATTTATTGGTTTTAATGCCTACTGAATGTTTGAATATGGTTGATCTGCTTTTCCCTCACTAATCACTTATCCTATATTGCACTTGACACTGACCTTGAAGAAGAGCGTCCGCTTGCGCAGGTCTACAGAACAGCATGAGCATGGACTTCTAAGTGTAAACTTGAGAGTGGAATGCCCCTGAAGGCGTTGAAGCTATGTGAGCTTTACACCACCTGTTCACCCTCTCTCACACTGTCCTGACGAGGCCGCTTTTAAATGAAACTACAGGGGCACAGGACAAACCTGCAGGTGTATCTGAGTAGACCGTATCGCAGACAAAGAATATAAATTTACTGGGCTGGCTGAATGTACGTTATTTGACTAACTGAAATAGCTAAAACTTGCTTTCTGTATAATTATTGTAATTCTTGTAAAAAAAAAAAAAATCAGGAAGATTTTACAAGCATGCGCTATTTCTACAAACCAATGGGTGCGTGCGTGTTACAATGCATTATATATTGTTTACTAGGTCCCAATTCACTCACAAACTCTGTAGCCTAGATGAAGTTATTATTACAATGTTAGTGTCTCCCACTTCTCAGACTACCATAAAGGCGCACCGAGTCCACGTAGACAAAGGGGTCAGTCGATGACTTTACGCACATATAGCAGACAGTTACAAGTCTACGACAGGGGGCGCAGTACAGTCCTCGTTTGGAATCGTGAGTCTGCCTCAGTCAACCTAACAGCCTCGACCGCGCTCGATATCAGCTACAACATGGTCCTCGACGTGGATTAATTTTTCTGAAGTGCGACTAGATCAGCCTCACAAAGACAAATTTACCATGTTTACCTGGAAGAGTGTCTCCAGCACGAGGACACCTGCGGTTAAGTAGCTCTGGGCGCAGCTCCTAAAATATGCAAAAAAGTGGATGTAAGGAAGAAAACTTCTACAGGTAGTATTAGTAGCCTATCTGACCTTACAGTGTTCTTTTGACTGATAACTACTACTCTATCCAAACGAGAAAGATCATCTCTTGACCCTTTTTACAGTAGGCTATTTATTTTAGTTTAGTTAATTGTCACTGCCTTGTATTCATAGCCCGTGTTTTTCTTATTTTGAAATAGCTACAGTTAAATAAGGTCATTTCAATTTGCTGTTAATCATTTGTATATTGTATCATTTATTGATATTTTTATTGACACTTAGAAATGAAGATTTGCAAATACATTTTAATTAACATGCTGAGATAGTGGTAGCGGTGGACAGGTCAGTAGGCAATAATTTGGGCGCTGAATTAGAAAAGTAAGCAAGCAAAATATTTGGGTAGGTATTGTATTATTTAGTCGTTTTTTTTTTTGTTTTTTTTTTTTTTGTTTGTTTGTTTTTTGATTATTTACTTTTAAGAGTTAGATTTTTTTTAAATTCCTAAATTACCTGAAAGGTAAGCTTATAATATATAATAATATATTAATACACACATGCATTCAGAAAAGCAGAAAGTTGTATGCAATTGCAGTTGTTGCTGCGCAATTTATCAGTGCAAGTTATCATGTTAATAATGTCCTTATTCCTTTTCTGAAATTCTTTTCCAAGCTACACCTATCTCGATGTGCCATGGGCAATAGAAAATATTTCTATATTACATAAGCCTTAGGAATAAAAGGTTTGCCTATAAAATACAGCGGTATAATGTATATTTCTTGTCCACACTTAGATGTCTGAATGTAGCTATGAAGGAGTGAGGCACAATGCCTTTGTCAGGTAAGTAGGTAATTCTATGCATCCTGTGAAGATGTTTTTGTTTTAATGGCCTCTCCTCCCCTGTTCTCTGTAGAGTGTCAGTTATTTTGCTTGTGCTTCATTCAGAGACACTAAAATGTCAGCATACCACAGATCACAGAAAGGTAAGGAGCAAATGGTGATAGAAACATGAAAACATTGACCTATTGTTTACATGACATTGTAAACACAAACTTTAATGCTTGTCCATTTTAACCTTAATATAGTTTAATATCAGCTTCACATTGTTCACAGTAACGTTAAGGTTGCCATGTTAGCTAAGAGTAAATGGCCATTCTTAATACCTTGCCTCTCTTGGGTCTGTAGACATTAATAATCATAAGGCCATCAGAAGATCACTAGTGAGAGGTTTAGGTTACACGTCTTGTTAGCATGTCTCCAAAGCACTTCCTGATCCTAAGGGCCACAAGCACCACAGTAAAACGGATGTCAAGATTTTTTTTTGAAAAGCACATTTAGAGCAGCTTACACTGTGCTTCTGTAATGACCTGTGGCTGACCCTGTAACTGACAGTGGCATTGCATTACAAAGGTTGAGGACAGAAGAAGGCTTTGAATAGCTGCACATGCTGATTGACAGGGGAAGACAGTTGTGCCAAGTCTCCCTACTGAGTATTCTCCATCCATCCACTAAAAGTCAGAGGCAGCTGAACCGTTACTACAGTGTGTTTGCATAGAGACTTTGCAGTGAATGAAGACAAAGTGGTCCTTAAAGAGCAGGATTTCCACGCAGCTCCATGGATAAAGTTATCTTGGCACAGGATCTCTGGGCAAGTTCCTCAGAGAGAACAGTGATTGCAGCTAATATGTTTCTGGTAGAGCTGCTCAGGGCAGAGTATAGTGAGAAGTGCAGGTAGACAACATAGTTAGGCAGACAAATCAGGCATCATTAGTATTAACTGCAACAGAAGTCTTCATGGAGAGCAGGAGGCATAGGGGAATGCCACACACATTTAAGGGATATTTATAGGATGAGATCACCGACTTGAATCTTTAAACTAGGCTGATCTGGTCATATCTGTCTATATGATCTTCTTGACAGGGGGTTTTACTGTGTCTGTGGCATTTATGTCCTTAATGGCTGCTGTTCATATATAGGTTCCCCATAGGGTGGTTCCACACCAGGAGACCAGAGCGGATCAAGGAAATGTTCCTGGCTCATGGGGAGCTTGGGGTCCATGGACCAGCTGCTCTCGGACTTGTGCAAAAGGGGTCCAGGAGCAAAGCAGGCCCTGTCTGCGTGTGTTCCCACATGAATATCCCTCCACCAGAACTAGAGCAAATCCACAGCAACCCGGTCATGTCATCAGCCCTGCAAACTACAACCCATTTGCGCCACGGCGACAGCAGCTCCCAGGGAGAGCTGAGGAAGCACAGAGTTTCCCAATCAAGAGCACACAGGTATACACAGGTCATATTACATTTTTTTTATTATTATTTAGTTCATTCAAAAGTAAAATAAACAATTTAAATTTTTCATTTGGTTGTTATCCTTTGAGTAATTTAGCAAACATGTGATCAATAGCTTTGCACCCTCTTTTTTTGGGACAATTGCACTGACTATGGGGTTAAAATTAAAACAATTAATGGAAAACAAACAAAAAAAATCTAAATGATTCCTTTTACCGTATAAATGAGTATAAATCTGAATACCTCTTAATATTTATTTTTAAGGCAAGGCCACATGGTCCCAGGGAGGTATGGTTATGGAAGAGCAACCTCTGTCCGTACCTCACATACTGATAAAAGCCAGGATGCAGGCAGGGGCAGCTCTCACAGACACAGACGCTCTCCTGAAGGAAACCTAAACTTTCAAGGCTCCAGGAGACAAGGTGATCGCCAGACTAACTACCCTGGCACTTCCAGAAGTCCCCAACAGTATGAGAGGTCCTTCATAAACCATAGACTGCCACAACAGCCCATGAACAACCCTGTATGGGCTCCTCTTTATCAGCCAGAAGGAGCTGGACCAGGACCTCAGGCAGAAAACAACCAGGAAATACAGCCAGGAAATCCACAACCAGAGAGACCTTATGACCCTTTACCTGTGTCCTTCTGCAATGGAGAGCATGCTCGCTACAAGATCTGTACCAATAGTGTAAGCCAACTAAATTTTTTACCAAATTATTATTTAGGTTTGTTCATATAATAATTTTTTTAATATACATTTTTCTTTCATATCATTATATATTTTGATTATACTATGTTACACAACATGTCTAAACATTCAAGTCAGGGGTCTCCAATGTTTTTCCTTCAGTAAGCTATCTTTACAAAACAAAAATTCTAGAGAGCTACAAATTTTAGCAGTTGCAAAAAATGTTGCATATATAACAGCCATGATAAGCCTTAGATGGGGAACAAGTTAGATCTCTATAAAACTAACAATTGTCCATTTATTAGTACACAAAGTTATGCATCAAAATGATACATTTACAATGGTAATTAATTCAATTTTACTTGTTCAGCACAGTATCTATAATTCAGAAATTATTTGGCGAGCTACTTGGAAGGGGGTGGAGAGCTACTGGTAGCTCCCGAGCTGCAGGTTGGAGACCCCTGATTTAAATCATATAACTGCTTGTCCCCACAAGCACATGTGTACTTTAACTCGTATTTTAATCATTGATGCATTTCTTAACTAGAAACTAGTTTTGTGCATCTATAAGGTCAGTTATACTGTAGCTTCTGTTCACTGTACATAGTGTTCCATGTCTTTTCATTTGATGCAAGACAGACCTGTACCTTGTTTAGACAATGACAGTATGGGAAACAGTCAGAGAGGTAGATCTTGCTGACATTGCAAATGCATAGTTTACACAGAGAGAGTGGCTTCAGATCTTAAATGATGATGACTTTATGGAAAGTGTATGTCTTTGCTTCAGGCCTGTCTTCCATCGAGCAGAACATTCAGAGCTGTCCAGTGTTCTTCTTACAACAGCAAGCCTTTCATGGGCAGACTGTATGAGTGGGAGCCTTTTAATGAAGGTAGGACTCAGCCTCAAATGACACTATGGTACAATTGCTGGACTGTTCCTGTAAATGCTATGTGTAGGCTGAATGATTCCCGATCTGTCAAACCTTAGAAATACAATTAAAGACTGAGGTGCAGTGTTCATTCAAGCATGCTCACCCTGACAACAATCAAAACACAATATGAAAAGCCATTTGTCTGAGATTGCTAATGGTAAGAACAGTTGCTGCAATAATATCTGGTTGAGGATGTGGAATTTAACTGACATATTGTGTGAATAAAATACCACACATTAACTGTGTGTAAAGTTTTATATTAACTGCTCCAATTGAACTAAACATAAATATGCATATGTTCAAATGTAATATTTTTCTATTTTTGTCAATAGCACCTGTCGAACAGCAGTGTGAACTCCATTGCCGTGCCGTTGGCTTCAGGTTCTACGTGCGACTGTCAAAGGCAGTGACTGATGGCACACCATGTGTACAAAATCATTCTACTGTGTGTGTGGCAGGAAAGTGCATGGTAAGTGCATGGATAGTAAAAAACTGAATGCTATGTTGGTTTAGACCAGAAGAGGGCAGTACAGAATAAGTGCTACAGTGATTAAAATACACAAGGTGTGTAGAGCATGAATTATGTTCTTTTGCTGCAAGTGGGCATGTTTAAATTAGTGCATTGACTTAAAGCTTTATACATTTCTAAGTACATTTCATCCAGTTTAAGACAGAAGGCATAAAGCGTGAAAAAAAGTGAGTAAGGGAAGATGAATGTAGCCCTATTATATATTTTCACTTAAAAAAGGCAAGCAAGTTACAACATGCAGGCTACATGTCTCCATGTTGGTTCACATTTTATAGTGGTAAAGGTGTCACAGTAACACTTTCCACCACAAACCCAAATGGTTCACATGAGAGCAGCCACTCCATTTAATACTTTCTATTTAATGACTCTAACAGAGGGATAGGTCAATGCCTGTCCACAGAGATCTGTGGTTCCTATCTAATGAGGGGGAAAAAATCTTACGAAAGCAGTGTTTAAATTTGCAACTGCATGATTAGCTCAGTAAGCTGGTAATAATAAAAAATAAGATAATACTTACATAATATGCAACTTATTTATGTCCTAAGAATTGAGTGGTCTTTTGGTGCTGTTTAAGAGGAGAATCCCTAGCTCCACCACAGAGCTAGAGTTTGTGTGGTCCACCTTGTTCTACTGTGACACCTTACTGCTAAATGAATAACTACCAAGGTCTGTCCATTAGACCCTTTGCCCTAAGTGTCATCCCAGCCATCTTCTCACATTTCCAAATTTAGTATCAGCGTTGCATTAGTCTATTCTTCCATCCCTTCTCCTTTCCTGTTTATAACAGAATAAAGTCATCATCACCAGGATGCTGCATTTGTAATTGGCTAATTGGCTGTAAATTGTTATTTCATATTTATTCAATTACATTCAGGCTGTAAATGTTGATCCTCGAAGTCCACCTAGGAGAAATGTTAAACACTTCTTAGGTGACCAACACTGTGCGAACCAACTGCAAACCACTAAATAGACTTGAATGTGGTCAAAGGGGCAATGAAAGAAAGATCCCCTTATAGTGGGAATTCCATTCAGCAGCTACATCTCTCTTTTATACTGAGGAAGTGCATTTGAGAAGGGTGTGTGTATTTTTAAAGGGCGATCACTGACCACACAGTTCTCTGCAGGCGGTGGTGGGCCCCACTGAGGGTAGAATCTATGTAGACTGGGACTATTTTACACCCTGGAGAGGGGTTGTGCTGCTCCCTCTGCACAGCTGATGATGAAATATAGGAAAACCAACTATGAAAGCTTAAGTTGTTATTGTTTATCTTTCCTTTCGTTCTTGGTTATCCACTGTAAATCATCCTATTGCGCAGTGATTCTTTTATTGATTTGGCACATGTTCACTCAGTGTATCTACTGTATATCTGAAAAAAAATTTGCTTCCTTAAGCTATAATTTGTTAAATGTAAATTTGTATTACATTTTTGTTCATGTGCTACTGCTGGCATGAAAGCTATCATAACATATCATGCATTTTGGCTTGAGCCATTCTCATCAAACAGCATTCAAACCACTCCTCACGGCTCCGTTCATGACAGCTGCATCTGGTTTGTACATTCCCTGCTGTGGTGGACAGGCAGACTTGTTAAAAAGGGGATGAGTGCTTTGATATATAGCCTTCTTGGCACATCACTAGTGGAGATACCTCAATCATGTCCATGTCACAGCTAGTTTTGAGTTTTTCATTTCAGTGCACAGATTGCTTTTCTATCAATAACTGCATTTGAAAGGTCCTGTATATATGGGATTTGCATTAAAGTCATAAAAGATATTTAGAAAGTTGTATTAGTTTCTTTATCAAAGTAACAATTCTCATTAGGGCTGCACAATATATTGCAATTAAATCAAAATCACAGTTTGATTTGGCACAATTATCAAATTGCAAAGGCTGAATTTATTTAGATAGTAGAATTTTTGTGCATCCCTATTATTACTCTCCTTAGGTTGCTAAAAGAAACTTACATTTAAGTTTGTTTTGTTGTAGATATTATTGATAAATGTAGGAAAAATAAAAATAATGGATCTAGTATATCAAAATAATAATAGCAAATTTTTGATAATCACTTGTAACCTAAATTGACCTTATTATGCTAAAAATGTGTCTTCAAATGTAATGCCAAGTCTTTGGAATTTGTTACACAGGAATGTCAGAGGTCAGGTTCAATCTTAGAGCAGCACTTGTGAAGCAATATTTTGGTGAATGGCACTTGTTAGGGCACCTGTCTAAAATACAATCACTTGTTGGATCTTTAATAGTCAAATGAGCTCTTAAGTCATGTTGTATATTCTTAAGGGGGTTAAGAAGATGAGATGAGACTGAGTTTGAGTCCTCTTTCATTATGATGCATTGTAGAATTAGGTTTAGCACTTGAGCATTTGTGAATCTCTTGACTGACAGTTTGTGCTAATTGGTCAACTTACTTAACTTGTGGAGGAGGTGTGTTTGGGTGGACAGAGAAGTCCTGGACAGATTTATGAGAGGACACACATGTAGCGTTCTATTTTTAGCACTTAGTGGTCACTCGGGTCTTCCTCAGACAGACGCCTGTTGACAGTGGCTGCTTGCTGGGTGGCTGTCTCTTGACCAGACACTTAGAGGACATTATACTCTTTACATTATATCATTTTGTTTGTAATGTCAAGGATCCAGTGTTCTTGTTTCACTGTAGGTTGGCCATTATTTGAGAATTGGATGAGTTTAAGGATGGGAGTCTCAATCCAGTTTTGTTGTATTGTGTTGGGCTTTGGATAATATGTGTAATTGGGCTTGAAAAGTAAATGTCTTAACTGTGTCTGTCCAAACACTTTTGTGAACAGGTATGGCTGATGATGGTAAACAACATTTTTAAACATGGCAAAATGCATCCTTTGATTTCACCCTTCTTCACCCATCCCCATTTATGAGGATGGGGATGATAGATTATTATTAATTAATTAATTTTTTTACTGAAGCATATCTTCAATAAAATAGAATATAAAATAAAAGCTAGAAAAAGCTTTACCTTGGTGTCAAAATGTTGTTTGATTTTAGCATTGTGGCAACATCACCATACCACTTTTGAAGCTTGTCTTACAGTTCATGCACTTTACTGAAACCTTGATAACGACATTAACATGCACATTTGAGCCCATTTCTGGTAGTGATTGCAACAAAATTGTCTGATTAGATTCCTTTTTATTATAATCGTCCATCCCTATTTTTGTCTTATAACTAACCACGTGGTTAATATAAATGGCGTTACGCCCAAAGCTCCTCTTGTAAGATATGGTTCATGTATGATCAGAGCATTAGTCCAGTGTTGTGTAGGCGGTTCAGCGAGAAAGATGGCTCTATCTCAGCCACACCTTGCACTTCCTGGCTCCGATTGTCATTGCACCTGCTTTCTACATTTCCCCTTCCTCCGCTGCAGCATTCATACCTCCTTTACTTAAATACATTACAGTCAGGGGACCTACATGCCTGGCCTTGCTTACTAATATGTATCCCAGATGCACCAAAATCATCCTTTCTTTTCCAACTTTCTCCCTCTGTATGTTGATGCAGTTGATGCATTAAACAGAATCTGGCCAAATTAAACTGAGATTTTTTTTTTCTTTAACACTTGAAATGGTGCAATAAAAATAATACTTATATTGCAATCTGTAAGAACAGGGCAGTAGTTGAATGTAGGGAGGATGTGTCTTGCAGATTGCAACATTACAGGAGCGCTGAGCCCACCTGCTGGAGAGCATGACTCGGACGTGTGTGGGTTGGAGTCCTGAAAATGAGGCGCCTGCTGAAGTCTATGTACCTTCAGAACTGACCTACTTGTTCTGGCAGACAATGCCCCTACAGTGCTTGGGATGGTCCATCTGGCCCTGTCAACCCCACATTGTGCTACTTTCAAAAATGCGAACAGTTAGAATCAGTAAATGTCTCAACAGCAGTGTTTAGTTCAAGAATATATAGTTTTGTTTACTTTTTTGCTTTTCCCCAACTATTAGTGTATTGCTAAAAGTTATTTGGTGACAAAAGCCTTATTTCGCAAAATAAACACAGCAACCACATGTCATGTTTTGTGTTGGAGAATTACTGTTTATCGTTACAATAAAAAGAGGCCTCAGAATAAGTTTACTGTGCACTTAGTATAAGACTGGATATACCTCTTTTGAGCCTGTTGCACTTGTCAGGGATCCAGAAGGACTTAGCCACGCCACGCCAGTTGCAGGTGTGCACATAGTTGTTATTTGCATTCAGCAGCTTTACTTCATCTGTAAAACATCTTAACTGAATATCTGAAAAAGTGTCAGAGTGTGATTAATAGTGCCAACATTATTATAGAGTGAATAGTTGGCATCTGTAGAGCGACATAACTTGTTGTGCGTGTGAGGGCACACATAAATCTGAACTCCCAAGCCTCCCAGAAGCTGTTAATTTTACTAGAGGAGGTGAGCTTTAGCTGCGTGTTTAAAACATTGCAAGTTTGCAACTAGTAAAACCTATGTGAATTTGTAATCTACTAATCTACTAATCTAATGAAATTTAGACATCTGTTTTAATTAGGGCAGTATCTAATCTCTAGATACAGCCCAAATTAAAAGGTGTGCTCTAGAATGTAGCATTATTCAATTTTTGTTAACTTATTCTTCTTTCACTTCTGTCTAATTCAGAAAACAAGACATCTTTCCGTGTTGAAAATATGACACGAATGAGTACCTCACCTGTCATGTGCCTTTGTATGAGAAAATCTACAGTGTGACTAAAGAATAAAAAGCCCTCCTTTTATTTTAATCAGGGGAAACACAACAGAGTTGACCTTCCATTGTTTTTGATAGGATACTTTCTTTCCTCTGCAGCTGTTTTACTGTCCTGTTAAAGTAGTGGCCAGAATGTCCTCCCTGACTTTGAGTTTACTGTCAGCAGTAGCTCTCTGCCTGCTTTCTCCCTGCTATTCATTTCTCCTCTCCCTTTGCCTCCACTAAAAAAGCCCTTTCCCCAGATCCCCTGCTGCACCTCCCCCTGCTCAGTTTACAAGGGGGGCTCGTACAGATCAGGTCTGTACTCAAAGAGTTTTTTGGCATTCTCCATACTACGAGGGCGAGGAAGAGGCTGTTGGAGGCAGCTACTAGCCCTGGCAGAAGGCAGACGGGCTGGTCAAACATTTGTGTGACCACATCAGAGAATGCTGTCAGGGTTGGCTCTTCTGCTGCTCGCCTGTCTCCACATGCGTGTGCAGGGGAAGCTGCGGACACAGGTAGAACAACTCACTTTGATCTCACCTGGAGGACCATGGATTTTTTTTTTTTTAAAGTCTTATCTGATGTGCTTTCAAAATGTTGAACATTTATATATTAATATGTGGAACGCCTCCTTCTTTTGTTCTGATACTGTGGCCAAAAGTTAAGTCTTGTTTTGTTGGTTTGCTTGATTGGTATGAATGGGTTTCTTTATCCACAAAACTTTCCCAGGTACTATCTCTCTTAATGGAAAAGTCATCAAGATGTTCAATTCTGTTGAGGATGCTGTTTCAACTTGTCACTACAGGTTTCACTTTAGTCCATGCGCAATTACTGATGATTACAATTTGGACAAGTAAATCTTACCAGGTATTCATTATTATAATGTCTTTATTTTACTCATGCCAGCTGTGATTTATTTGATGGTTAAAAGCAGATTTTTTTAAGCCAACATGTTTATTTCTTCAGTGTGTCATGTTCAAAAAGACAAGTACAAAACTCTAATAATGGAATGTGTTTTTTCCCCCTAATTTTTCATCTCTGCTTTTCTCACTATTCTTGTAACTTGCTCAGTGCTGAATCTATAGCATTAAGTATAGAGCAGTAATGTCAAGAGAAACCTTTGCATTTAATGGGTATAATAATGTTCAATGCTATTTCTGATTTTACAAGCTTGGGCCTTTTATGAAGCATGCCCTTTGCCCCAGACTGTAAGAACAACCTGCGATGTGAATCAGGCTTCTTTTAACTGTCTGGCTTCTTCACTTTAGTTCTATATCTCATTTAACAACTTGGCTGCATGGCCGCACATCTAAATGTCTCTATGGTGTGGAAATATAGAGTTATAAACACTTCAAATGTGAAATGAAATTTTACAGATATATTTGCATCTTGATCTAAACCTTGAGTATTGAAAGTATGCATCACTTCCATAACATCTTCAAAATAAGTTCCAGTTACAGTCAAAATATATAACATTGCAGTAAAATACTGATCAAGTCATAAAAATTCAAATACTACTACTACTACTACTACTACTACTAATAATAATAATAATAATAATACTAATAATAATAATAATAATAATACACTAATAGACAATATTAAACACTCATTCTCACCTGTTCTTAAGCATCAGTTTGCCCTGGCACCTGCATTTAGCAATTTCATTTTGTGATGTAATTTTGTCTCCTCGCCCCGTGTAGGCAGAGGTGCTGTTTGTTTTGGTTCTGTTTGTGTTTTTGTCTGTATAGCTAAGTGGTTTCTGGTGTGTGTGAACCGTTTTTTTTTCTCATAGACACATGTAGTAGTCTGAACCCAGTATCCACATCACCTGTTTGAACAGCAGGTTACTTTTATTACAGCTATGAGTTCAGTTATGGACTGCTGATGTAAACAATTCTATTTTAACTATGCTGTAATTTATAACTACTCTCTCTGGCTCTTGATCGTGATTTTTACTATAGTATGTTGAATTTGCTATGTACACAACTGTGATATATGAATGAAATATGAATACTAAATAATCAATACGGTAATAATTAATGCATTTTTTGTACTTTCAGAGTCCAGGCTGTGATGAGTATCTTGGATCTGGAAAGTCCCTTGACAGATGTGGGGTTTGTGGAGGTGATAACACCACTTGTAGACTGGTCTCTGGAGTGTTCAAACATAGTCTGTCAAAGATGGGCTACCATAAAATAGTAGAAATCCCAGAAGGAGCCACCAAGATCAACATCACAGAGATGGCAAAGAGCCGAAACTACCTCGGTGGGTATACTTTGTGTGATTCATAACACTCGCTAATAGTAACCTTTAACCATGCTTAATGTGCTTTAAAAAGGAATGTCTAGGTTAAAAAATATATATGTGGATATTGTTGTTTTGATAATGCAAGATTAAGGTACCATAATTTACATCCAAGAGGCATACAGTGGATTCAGATTTTTTATTGCCTCTTTAATAGCTTCTTGAAAGATAAGCCATGGAACCAGTGGAAAACATTTTAAAGAATTTTCCTTTAGATCTTGCATTATAAAAAAGGTTCCACTCTCTAAAAGTACAAGAAAAACATGTTTTCAGCTCTTCGAAGTAGATCCGGGCGATCCATTATTAATGGAAATTGGGCCATCGACCGACCAGGAAAGTATGAAGGAGGTGGAACCATGTTTACTTACCGTAGACCCAATGAAATCAGTAGCACCACAGGAGAGTCCTTTGTGGCAGAGGGACCCACCAATGAAATTTTGGATGTTTATGTAAGAATATTTTTTTCTAATCTTGGGGATTTCTTTTGATATTAGGATTTTTTATTGTGCATCATTACTGAAAATATGAATGTTATTTTAGATGATTTTTCAGCAGCTAAACCCTGGAGTTCTTTATGAATACATTCTTCCCTTTGAGAAAACAGATCCACGGTCTAACAACAAACAAGAAGGTAAGCAATTTTTCTCTAATCAGACAGTTCCATCTTTAGTCTTTTACCTACCAAAGGGGTAATAGAACTAGAAAACGAATGCATTTTCTATGTAGCTTAGAGTTGTCTTGCTGGTATTTCTTATCGTGTTTATCCATTTGTTATTATTTTCTTTTCTTCACAGGCAATGGTTTGAATAGAGAGGGTGGATTCAGCCACCATAACAATGTTTTTCCGCACAGCAGAGAGGGTGAAGAAATAGGAAGGTATTCTCCACGTCTCCCTGACAACCAGGTAACTGCTGTTCTGCCACCAAGACAGGACAGAGAGTACAGCTGGAAACTGGCTGGTTCTACAGAGTGCAGTGCCTCCTGTGGGAAAGGTCAGGAAAGACAATCTTTGTTCATTTTTAATATAAAGTGTAGAATGCATTCATTAAAAAATCTTTTCTGTCAGGTTTTCGATACTCTGTCTTTCACTGTGTCCACCACCGAAAGAACCTTCATGTATCTGATACTTTATGTGACACCAGCCACAAGCCTAGTGCACAAGAAGAGGCCTGTAACTTGCAGCCCTGCCCAGCATTGTAAGAAATTTTAGACTGGTATTTTATCACGTGTACCTCAGATTATGAATTTAACAAATTCTTACTGAATTCTGAACAAAGAACAATCAGTGAACAAATTTACAGATGCCATATACATTTAATATAACAGATTGCGTTGAAAAAAATACACAGGGCAGAGGCTTATATTGCCCATCTTACAATTTTATGTCCTTTCCACTGAGAGCTTTGGTTGAATAATGACACCACTTTCTGAATCAATTGTTAAACCTTGGTTCATTTGGAGTAACAGAAAAGTCATTCAGCTTTTTGGCAGTTTTTGATTAATGTGGTGGGTAGGCTCAGTAATTACAGACAAATAAAGTATCAACCAGAAGAAAAACTATGCAATCTCATTAAAAAACAATAAAAAATATATATATATATAGAATAGAATTCTGATGTGTCCTTCAGCTCAACTTGAAGTATTTGTAAATTAAGTGTTCTACAATGTTGTGACATCATGTGAACTCAACCTGATGTGTCTTTTTCAGCTGGGATATTGGGGAATGGTCAGAATGCAGCAAGACCTGTGGCCTTGGTATGCAGCAAAGACAAATCCTTTGTCGGCAAGTATATGCCAACCACACTCTCAATGTGCACATGAGCCGCTGTCAACACCTGGAGCGCCCAGAAACAACAAGCACCTGCCAGATGAAGATCTGCAGTGAGTGGCAGATACGCTCAGCATGGTCTCCTGTAAGTCAAAGCATACACATTGGAATGTTTAATTGATTTAACTGGTTGGACATGTGTATATTCATGTCCAGATTTGCAAGAGTAACTAAACTCTTACTGGAGTAATGAATGAATCTTGTGATCTGTGTTGCACCAGTGCTCAGTTCCATGTGGGCTGGGACAGAGAACTCGGGAGGTGCACTGTGTCAGCAATGTGGGAGACATTGTACCAGATGATGAGTGCAACATGCACCTGCGGCCTGTTCATGTGGAGAACTGTGATTCAGGACCCTGTGCCAAGAGCTGGTTCTATACTGAGTGGGGAAACCGGGTAATGTGTAAAGACCAAATTATATAATGGTTTTTCCAGAGCTGTGTCCTGCTTCTGACATGTTTTACCTAATGGATGTTATTTGTTATAGCATCTTGTCCTATATTAAGGTTGTATGTGTTTTCACAGTGCTCAGCTGAATGTGGGATGGGAGTACGTACCAGGGGAGTGCTCTGCCTGACCAACCACATTACCAGTCTTCCTCTGGAGGGCTGTGGCAGCGAGCGACCCCCAGATTCTCAGGTGTGCAACAATGGGCCATGTGAGAATGGCTTTGAATGGTTCACTGGCCCCTGGAGTCAGGTACAAGCACATAATGACTAAAATAAGAAGCTGTCTGTTGAAGTTGAGTACAGCGACTTAGAAATCAGCTTTGCATTTTCTCTTATTATATATGATTCAGTGTTCTGTAGAGTGTGGCACAGGTAGCCAGCAGAGGTCAGTGGTGTGCCTTATGAAGTCAGATGAAGGATTCACTATCGTGCCTCCTTACGAATGCTCCTCTTTGGAGCGACCGCTGAGCCAGCAGAGCTGTAAACTTAAAGCGTGTGGGGCCAAATGGTACCACACTGACTGGAGTTCAGTAAGTTCCATTAATAATCTTGTCTTCATCTATGTCAATGGAGTGAATGTACATTCAGTTTCACTCTGACTTTAAACTCATTTCAGTGTTCAAAAACGTGTGAGGGAGGTTTCCGAGTGCGTGAAGTCCGCTGTTTGTCTGATGGCATGCTCTCCAGTGAAAAGTGTGATGAAACCATTAAACCAGAAGTTAAAGAGGACTGTAACCCTGAGCCCTGTATACCTCACAAAGGTCAGCTGCCTTTCCATACGATTGTATATTGGTAAAGTTGTGCCAACAAGGATGTTTGCTGTCATTATTAGTCCAATGGACAAAACAGATTAAAGTGCATTTGTTTCTTTGCAGATGATAAGTGCAGGGACAAGTATTTCAACTGCAACGTGGTGGTCCAAGCTCGCCTTTGTGTGTATGATTACTACAAGACTACATGCTGTGCATCTTGTTCAAGAGTGGCTCACAGACTATCGCATCACAAGAGCCGTAGCTAGCCAGCTCTAACAGAGGCCTCAAACTTAATGGAAAATACACTGCTGGCACTCCAGAGTGGGTTGCCTATTGTGGACAGTGGTTTCTGTGCTCATTGTGGAAACTGTAGAAATATTGACCACATGATGACGTGGCTGTCAAACACAGAATAAGCGGGACTATTCAAGAGCATAGCATAGAGAAAAACTAAATGCTATAGCATTTTCAGGAGCTACGCTTTACTCTAGACTTTCTAGTTGTGTATTACTGAGAAAGTAGTTTGGTACTGCTTGGACCAACAGGTGAGACCAACAGACAGAATCAGTTGGTAGTAGGCTCTCCAAATCCAGTAGCATGGGTAAAAATGTATTTTACTGCTATGAGATTCTGCCGAAGCTTCATGATAATGTCATGATATTTATTTGATATAGCATAGTTTTTACAATAGACTGTAGCCTATTGTGGAAATACTACTTTTAAAAAAAAATTACCCAACAATCACTGTCATATGGAAAAAGAATAGGGCTAGTGCACTAGGCTACACAGTAGATCAGGGGTCTCCAAACCTGTTGCTCAGGACTTACCAGTAGCTCTCCACCCTGTTTCAAGTAGCTCACTAAGGTATTTCAGATTTATGCCATTGTGCTGAATAATAACAAAAAAATGGTTAATTACATGCCTGTTACCATGGTAAATGTGCCATTTTGAAGCACACTTTGTGAATTAATAAATAGACAAGGGTTTAGGTTTTATAGTTTTCTAACTGTACCTCAAGGCTTGTCCTCTTTCTTATAATCGTCTCAATTTCTTGCAACTAGAGAATGAGTAGAGTAGCTCTCTGGCATTTTCGTTCTGTAACAGTAGGAAAAATGTTGGAGACTCCTGCAGTAGACTATATATATATATATATATATATATATATATATATATATATATATATATATATATATATATATATATATATATATATATATATATATATATATATATATTAGTTATTTTTATTTGGCTACGGGATGGGAAACATCCCAATATTTAACACTTTGCCACTTTGCACAAGGTGAAGAGCCAGTGTAAAATTTACCACTTACCACAAATACCCTATTTTTATCATTTTGTATTTAATCTCTTCCATGAGAAAAAGAAACACATGTGAGACACAGGTGGTATAGTGAAAGGTAGTCATGGGTGTGTGTAATTGCTTTTAACCATAGACTGTATATATAAATTATATTATAAAAAATATTCATATAATTTTCTTATACAGTCTGTGCTTCTAAGAACAAATGTATTTTAGACAAAGGGGCTTGAAATTCATACTTTGTAAATGTGAAAATATCCAGTTATTTTTATATTTTGGATCAACATCACATCAGACACTGATGATGCTGCTCCTTACATTACTTAAGATTTAATTACATTTTTTTCCATAATGTCCAAAGTAAAGTTGAACATTTTTCACTTTTTATATTTATTTTTGTACTTAAATATCCAGGTCTAACTGTACATGAAACTTTTTGTGCAAAGTTAACCCCCAACCAATAAAAAATGGTGTCTGATGTCTGAGAGAAGTATACTTGAGTTTCAAATATATTTTTAAAAGACAGTTTTTGCTTTTATGTATAAACTTAATGTTACTTTTTTTTAAATTAAAGCTGTAGTTTATATATATGAACATCTTTATACAGCCATATATGCTAGCCCATTTGCAGCTTTAGCCAACAGAAAGCAAGCGCTTTACCCACTAAATAACGTAGGCTACATTTCATGTACATTTCATGTACATTTCATGCAAAAGCGAGTGCCACATTAACTCAGTATTGATTTAGTATTTTTCATTTATCAAAGATGGGATTTATTTTTTTATTATTTTGTTATTTAATTATGTATTTGTCCATAAACATCAACGCCCCCTTTCCCATAAAGCCGTGGGACAGCAAGGCGCAAAAATATAAAACAAGAAATCAAACATAAGCCAAACACAAGCCAAACTATTTTTAATTGTATGAGAATTAAGACTACTAATGCTAATACACTTTGTTTACTTTTACTTTTCTTTGTAAAAGAGTATACTAGCAAGCTGAAAGAAATGTGACAACTATGAATCAAACCTGACAATAGTATATTTTAAGTATTATACTTAACTATATTCTGAAGTCTGCTTTATTTACGTGGCATCCATGGTCGCAGTTTGGGGGTTACCGTAACTTGCGTATAAGTACGCGGATTACAGTATACACACAGGCAAAGGTTATGTGTGATTGCTAGAAGTTGTGATCATGGATGTCACTTTTGGGCCGGCAACCAGTGATACGAAGCATACAAATTGTTTGCTTTTTGTTATTATTTGTTTATTTATTTAGCCAAACATAAATAAATAAGCATGTGGGGGTTTTTTTGCACTGAAAAACATGGTTCCTTATTCTGGGAGGGCTGGCAGTACCACAAATTTGACTTGACCTTGGCCTTGAGGAGAGCCTGCTCTTGCCTGTTTTTTTTTCCATAGAAATGTTGCTCCTTTAACTATAATATTTTCCATGAAGACTGTAACAAATACATTTTATTTAATCAGCGATACCTGGTTTAATGCTGGAACTCACTAATAGACTATGTGTTATACAGTTTTAATGCACAGCTCTTTAGTTGTTTAATTCTTACATAGTTTTGAATTTAAATGGGTTTGAATGACATTATGAATATTAAACCACCTTTCCATCTCGCATTCCATTTTTCCAGGTTTTACATTCTTCAACCTACAGAGGAAAGGCATATTGTATTGGATCACAAAGTTTACTTACATTGCTACAACAGGCCTAGTTTGCTTGTACTGTTTTAAGAGATCTGGATTTGAGATTTCAATAAATCAGTGCAATAAGTGTCCCATTAGTTGTCAGTGTGTGAGAAAAGCAGTGTGGCCTTCACTGGAATTCCTGTTGATGCAGTGGAGGACCTACAGTTCCATATCAGTCTTTAGCAGATGGCTGTGGAAAGTTATATCATTTGGTCAGATATTTAAACTTAGTTTAGTTTTGTTTATTTGAAATTTCTTTACATTTAGTTTACATTACATGCGTCCATAAAAACATACATAGACCAAAAAGAGTAGGCTTAAGCAATTATTTATTGCCACATACTCCCATACAGTCACATGCTAACAAAGTACCCCTTTGTCTCTGAGTTACACTTAAACCTTTTTGCCATTTTTCCTCATATTTGTAAAAACTTACCATTCCACTATGACTAGGTATAGGAAGGTGTTGTTCACTTGAAAGCTGAATACAAATAAATCAGCTCCTAAGACAAGCCATAATTGACACTGTGACCTACACTTCTTACACACTTACACACTGCTTATTTCCTGAAAGGAGGCTTCTCGTGTGACGTCTGTGTTCACTCCCCCCTTTTGTCGAGAGAAAGCTAATACATTAGACAAAGGATTTATGACTAATAAAACAAGCTCATAAATAGAGAAAAAAGATTTTATACCAGAGTAAGAAGGAGTGCTTCTCCCAGGATCTACAACACGTCAGCAATGTATGGAAATTATAAAGACAGTGTCAAAAGCATGCCTCTTTTTGGTGATGATATACATCGATCACAGCTGCAAGGCTGTACACAAAGAATTAATTTCAGCAATGTGAGTCTGTAACTCTGTTACAAAACACTGCTGAAAAAATTTGAAAAAAATTCAATGGTGGCACAAAAGTAAATATCTGATCAAATCATGTCATTAAGTCAGGTAATCATAGAATGAATACATGACTGCTTGATGAACATTAGTGAAAATAGTTTAGATAGTATCTCACTCTCAAAACAAAAAGAATGGAATTTTTGGAGTCTACATCAATGGCCCCAACAGTCAGCCTCAGTCACTCCAAAGGCCCAGTGAAAGAAAGACTCCTGCAGAACTAACACATTTAACACCAATGTCAGAACAAAAGGAGAAATTTTATTTGTCAACTGGACAAACGTTTATTTGGTCAAATACATTACAGCTCCTCCAAGCTGCATCTTCAGTTCTGGTCAGACACTGGTGGACACTGACTTATATTTGTCTGAAGGAAGGTGCTAACTACACTAAGTAAACTACTCCTATTATGGCGGCATGGTGGCTGAGTGGCTAGCACTCATGCCTCACAGCAAGAAGGTTCTGCGTTTGATCCCCGGGTCGCCCGGGCCTTTCTGTGTGGAATTTGCATGTTTCTCCCCCGTGTCCCTCCGGGTGCTCCGGTTTCCCCCATCAACCCAAAACATGCTGCATAGGTCTCCATAAACAGTTGATAGTCAAGGTCAGTTAAATACAATCAATTCAGTCATTGTGTCCTTAGGCAAGACACTTCGCCCAATTTGCCTAGTATGAAAGTGGTGTGTGAGTGGGTGGTGGTCAGAGCAGAGGGACTGATGGTGCCGAGTGGCATGGCAGCCTTGCTTCTGTCAGTGTGCCCCAGGGCAGCTGTGGCTACAATAGCAGCTTACCATCACCAGGGTATAGAGTGAATGAATAATGCTGAATGAATGCTAAATGAAAAATGCTGAATAAAGTGTAAAGTGTCTTTGGGGACAGAAATGTCTGTGAAAGTGCTATATAAATAAAGACTTACTTACTATTATTAGCTAGGTCTACTCAACTGGGATTTTTTTTGCATAATCATTCAGGGCCATAATTGGGTGCTTTCACATCTCTGGGCCTGACTTGGCTATCCCTATGGCTTCCTTTGTGTGTTTTGATTTAGGTTTGGGGTTGGAGTTTTAAATAGGAGATAGAGTGCTCCATTTCTGTTTAAGGAAGGGTTCTCTCTCTCTCTCTTTTTTTTTTTTTTTAACAAAAATAGCTTCTTTACCTAAGAAGTGGCCCGTGACTCAGTGTAGCTCAGTAGCTAACTAGTAGCTATAGGGTGTTAGTTTCGGAGTAGTTTCAGTGTAGTTAGTTCCTTCCTTCAGGCAAATATAAGGCAGCATCCACCAGCGTCTGGCCAGAACTGAAGAAACAGCTTGGATGAGCTGCAAAATGTATTCGCCCAAAGAAACTTTTGTCCAGCTGACAAACTTAATTTCTCCTTTTGCTATGGATTCTACCCGGGCAACTGAGGGATTTTGCACACACCAATGTCAGAGTTACATTTTAAGCATGCCTATGTTAAGTCTTACCTGTTTGAAGAGGAGGTCGTTGTCTGTGCAGTACCTCTGTTTCTGCTTTTCTCCCTGCAGCAGCACCAGGCTCTGTGACTCCATCTTTGGCCTTCAACCCTTTACAGAGGTGCTAGCGGTTCTCTGCAAACAGAGCTGCAGATACCCTCTGAGTGTCATTGCCAAGCCAGTAAATGGCTCTGAAAAGAACATATGCTTATGTACAAAATAATAGCTATATGTAGTACTACTTAATTAATGGATTTAAATAAAATGTTCAAATAGACAATTTCTCAAGAAATTAAAGACCACTGAGTCAAAGCTTTGATCACACAAAGCCAGTGAAGAGACAAACTCCAGTGTTAACTTTTGCTCTGCTGCTATGCTGTTATAGTGGTCCACAGGTCCTTTCCAGAGCCCAACCTCTTATCTCATTTTGACTCAGAGATAGCTGACCATTCTAATGTAAATGGGTTTAAGATTTAGAGTCTATAAGTATAATACATCTTTTGTAAATTATAGACATTTACAGTAATTTAACAGTCTAATGGTCTGTTCTTTGTCTATTACTATACTGGTTATACTGTAAAGTGGTCATGGTAATGCTCTCGGTTGGTCAGATGAGGACAGACGTCGTAAATCCTTATGAATACTTGGTAGTTTTAACTATAGGGGAGTTTCTGTAGGATATGGTCCTTTTACTGGTTGACTATTTTCTCTATGAGCTTGGAAACAATACTGTGAGCCTAACCCTTTTAACCAGAAAAACAACTCTTTTGCAACAGCTACAAAGCTGAAATTCTTGCAATGAGACATAACAATGTAGATTTTCAGATAAGAATTTGTCAAAATAAATCAAAACTGGCTCATATCTTTGCATTTTTGCAGGAGTCATGTTATACTTCTTTACCATTTGACATGACCCATGTCAATTTGGCTTCATCACAGTTATTTGTTGTTTACAACAAATGGAGGTGTTGCGTTTTACACAATACTATGAACACTACAAGACAGAAAATTGAAGTGCAAATTTATTAACCATTGTCTGTTCATACAGAAAGAACAAAATTACCAGTGCAAAAACATTAATCTTGAGGCACTGAAGTAATACTTAGAATGATTAATAGTCTATTCTTCTAAAATACTGTAAAAAATATAAACTTTTTTTCTCCATTGTAAATATCCGATCAGTCAGTGTCTTGAGCTTTCACTTATATTTGATCATTTCTCATTGCTGGTGACAGGACTGAAGGGTTTGGCAGAGTCTGCCATGAAAGCTTCGATCTCCTCCACTGTGCGGGGCACACAGGTCAGCAGCTCCATGCCATTGGCTGTCACAGCAATGTCATCTTCAATACGAACCTGCAAGATGTTTTGGGAAGTGTTATACTAATTGTTGTACACAATATTAAGTGAAACTTTTAAGACAAATTATAACTACTGCACGATGAAGCATTAACCCCAGTAATGGCTACAATTGTATTAGTTGAAATAAGTAAAAGTGAACACAATGTAGGGCTTTAATGTTGCACACATTAAACGTGTTATTAGACTAACCCCTCCAAAGCCTCTAAAGCGAGGCAGCACTTGGTTGTTGATGAAGCAGCTCTGAGCAGGGTTAGCCAGCGCCTGGTCCAGCAAGTGATTGATGAAATATATCCCAGGCTCCACAGTCAGGACCATGCGCTCTTGTACAGGACGACCCATCCGCAGGCTTCTCAGTCCTGGCTCATCAATGCGCTCTATGCCCTAGAATGACATTTTTATCTTAAGTGTGGAGTCTGGATTTTATAAGGCAGAAGTAAAACCTTTCTAATCTAGATTTACATTTTTGTAGACTTTATTATCCCTTGGAAATTTAACTTTAGCATTTAACCCATCTAACAGGTGCCTCAGGGCAGCCTCTCTGATCCTCTTGGCAATAGAGCTAGCCACTCAGCCAGTTTACTCTAAGACAAGTTGTGACTGGTGAGTCTAGACTTAAATTTGCTACATATGTATGAATAAAAATTTGTCTTGAAAGGTCACCTCTGGATATCCTCCCACATCATGTACATCGATGCCCAGCAGGTGTCCCAAGCCATGAGGCATAAACACGGAGCCCATGTGGACCTTCATCATGTCTTCAACACTACCCTTCAGGATACCAATCTTCACCAACTCCTCCAGGTGCACACGGTCAGCCAGACGATGCATGTCAGTCCACTTCACCCCTGTAAAAAATGACTTTTGATTCGACTTAAATAACATATGTATTCAAATCACACCCTCCTGCAGTACATTATGTGGTATACAATAATAACTGTTAACCTGGTTTGATGGCAGCCATGACAGATCTGGAGGACTTGAGGACAGCTTCATAGATGGCTCTTTGGTCTGCAGTGAATTTGCCATTAGCAGGGAATGAGCAGGTGATGTCGGAGGAGTAGCAGTAGTATTCTCCACCCATGTCAAAGAGGCTGTATATAAGAAACAGGATATTAAGAGAAACATGGCAATATGAGCCTAAAAGAACAGTTCACTTTTATCATCACATCAATTAACCAAATTGAATCCCTTTTTTTTTTTCCTTTTTATGAACACAACACTGAGAATGCATACAGGCAGCACATCTATAAGGCAACAACTCCCCCTTCTGGATACTTTAGTACATGGCACCACCATCACAAAAAGGAAAAAGGTATAGATATCCTATGATTTACCACATGTCTCCATCCATAATAGTCTTGTCATTTGGGGCTCCAGCATGTCCATAGTGAAGAATGGAACCATTGTGTCCCCTATTAGAAATGATCAATTAATAAATACATAGAATATATAAATGGATTTTATGTCACCTTAACATTTATGTATTAGTTTATTACATTTCCTTACGTTCCACAAATGCAGGTATATGAAGTGTGGCGCATCCCTCCTTTGGTATAGCAATAGTGCTGGAAAAGGCTGCCAAAACAATGGATCATTAGCTGTAGACTAGGTCTCTGGTATTGGTTTATCCATCCTATGACTTTAAAGAACTATTCTTAAATTTTCTTGAATGAAAACATGAAGAGAAATTAAACAACTCCTCTCTAAGTGTTCAAATGTAGGTATTTGCATGTTAATTCTACGTATTACTCATGAAGTACCATGCTGAGGTATTGTATTTTCACTTAGGACAAACACCGATGACAACATACAGTATGCCTGTGATCATCTGACTGTGGAGTGTATAAGAGTAAATGAACCATGTGACACAAAGCAGTTCAACACCATTAGAAATAGCAACTTGAATAGTACAAAGGTTTCAATGATTTATGTTAACTGTAAAATAAATGAAATGTACTACATTAATTTTGTTAATTAATACAATTTTTAAAAAGCATGTCTTTCCACATACCTTTCCATTTCATATTCTTTCTGGCCTGGTTTCACATTTTTCATGATCTAGAAAAATAACATAAGTATATTGTAAGGACAGGCAAATAAGCAGAATAAATGTTCTTTTGACTATGTGACCTTGTTGTTTCAATGTTCAAATTTAATACATAAAAAAACACATTTTTGTTTAAATGCTTACCATTTTGTGGGCTTCACTGGAGATCCGGTTGGTGTAACGCAGCACTTCCAACTCCATATCAGTCTTCAGCAAACGGCTTCAAAGACAATATTAGATTAGTGCTTCATATACATCATATTATCTATATCTCTTCATCAGTCATGAGAATGTGTGACAGAAAATAAAGTCTTCTTTGTCAGGACAACAATATTTCATACAGTCTCAATAAAAACACATTAAAAATTCATCTAATGCCTCCATCTAATAGTTCAATTTGTGCAGAATTGATTGAGAGCAGGAGACAAAGGGGTTCGGTACAATCCTTCTCCCCAGGTGCTGTGTCTGCCAAGTCGTCCTGTTTATTTCAGAAAATGTCAATAGAACTAAAGGGAGTGAACACTAATGCCATGAAATACCAAGCGAGCACGAAGCCCATTATATCAGTGCTTGGTGACATCTATCTGAAGGAGAGGACAAGAAACAAGCAAATAAAGCCGGCCCTTTGTGTACATGCGCGCACGAGCAGGAAGCGGTAATTGCACTTGGAGGGAGCGTGCAAACACTAGGATTTCATTTATTTGAGAAAACACAGGCATAATGATTTAATAACAATTTAATAACTTACCATTCCACAATGACTGGGTGCAGGAGACTGTTATTAACCTGGAAGCTGATGAAGAACAAAAGAAAGATATTCAGTTTTCGATGCAGGGAAATAAATGCAATTGGAACATGCCTAATTTGTTCTACAGAGAAAAGCTGTGTGAAGGACAGAGCTTGCTTTGCTTTTAATTAATATCTAACAAGCAGCTGCATTTATAATGAGGGGAATCAACAATAACTAAGCGCTGGTGTGGTGTCCATGGTAATAAAAACATGAAAAATAATAATGTGTCCAATTAAATTCTAGTTATAGAAATGTCGATGATGCCAATTTTACACACCTGCTAATTCCCTGGAATGAGGCCTCACGACAGATGCTGCCACTGTCTGTGTTCAGTCCCCTCTGAAAAAGACCGTGGAAAACCGTGATTGGCATGGTTATTACCGGTCTTGGACACATTTACTATAATTAGATGAAGGGAAATTATTGTGCTGTTGTGTGCAGCCTATTCAAAAAGTTTCAGAAGGTCGAGACAGGGACCAAATGGCATACCAGTGTGAGGAGAAGAGCCGGTTTCAGGTTGGACAACACATCGGCGATCTGAAAGGACATTAAAAAGGGCCAATTAGTGTCCGTGAGAGTAGACTTTTTTTCCCTCTCCTTTCAGAAGCTGGGATAAAGGTCACTTGGACAGGCTCTAGAGTGGCTTAGTGGCCTCAGAAAGACAGCAACTAACAACCAAAATCTCAAGCGGTTCAAATGGCAAATTGTGGAGTCCTACTGAAAATTCATAGTGAAAAGTTGAGAAAAGGGCTTAGTGGATTGATTATAATTTATAATAAGTAATTTAGCATACATACAACATACATTTAGTGAAAAAATAAATATTCAACTCCAAGCACAAGTGTGATTTTCAAACATTAAAATCTGAATGATTGTCAATTTTCTTAAAATTCCTGATTTACACCAAAACTTATTAATGAGTTAAGAAGGAGTGAGTACTTGAAAGGAAACAGTCAAATAGTCCATAGGTCATAGTCTAACCCAATGTAATTTACCCATAACACGTGCTTTTCAAAATATCTAATCAGATATAACTTGTGTCAAGCAGATGGTGACTTCTCCTGTAAACAATTCAGTCTGAAGATAGCAATATCAGGAGCAGCTGACTTACATCACAGGTGTAGTGGACTTCATCTACGGCATACTTCTGCTTGAAGTGATCCCTGGAGTAGATCCTACAGTGACAAAATATCATTTCTGCTAAATCAATAACTGAATAACTATTTTGTAGCAGTAAACCATGTGCTAACATAAAAGAGCTATAAGAACTTACTCTCCCATCCATGTAGCGTAGCTTTCAGGGAGCTTAGGAACAAAAAGGATGGATTTTCTGGAGTCCACATCAATCGCCCCATAACAGTCAGCCTCAGTCACTCCAAAGGCCCAGTGGAAGAAAGACTCCTGCAGAATCAACACATTTAACACCAATGTCAGAGTTATATTTTAAACATGTCTATGTTAAGTCTTACCTGTCTGAAGAGGAGGTCGGTGTCTGTGCAGTACCTCTGCTTCTGCTCTCCTCCCTGCAGCAGCACCAGGCTCTGTGGCACCACTCCATCTTTGGCCTTCAGCCCTTTACAGAGGCGCTGGCGGTTCTCTGCAAACAGAGCTGCAGACACCCTCAGGGTGTCATTGCCGAGCCAGTAAACAGCGCTGAAAAAGGAGAAGTAAATCAAGACAAAAGAAAATTTTAAAGGGGTTTGGGTCATATTCCATGATTTAGGAGTCACACAAAAAATGTTAAAAAAAACCAAGTGAGATCAAATATGGGGTATGTAAAGTACTTAAAGTACTTAATGTATTTATGACCGCCAGGGATACAAAACAAGATAAAGTAATAAAACTCTGTCTCACAGTACACTCGCAGTAATACTTGCACTGTACCAAAGGTTAATTGGAGTGTTTTACGGTGTGTTATATAACAGATTGAAAGTATGATTTTTTTGTGTGCATTTCATTAGAGCAAACTAAGAATGTACACATAAATAAGCACATACAATGTCATGGGAAAGTTGTTTCTCTGTTAATTTTATCTTATGTCAGCTTTGATTAAATTATTCTGTCAGAATTCCTGTTACTCCTGTGATCTTTGACGGATGAGAACTCATTTTATGGAAACTGTAGTCCAGAGCATTTGTCTGCTTCACATCTTTTTCATATTTCACGGTCATGAACCAAATATGCAAACTAAAACAAAAAAATTGCAAAAAGAAACTAAAAATAATTCAGACGCCTAAGTAGTTTACGCCCGATTAAACGGATCATGCACGCATTTTTAAAAGTAAATACTTATTATAGTGATGTTAAATACAAATTCTACTGTTATAAATACTATGTTTATAAGAAAAGTAAATCTCACTTACTGTGGAGATGCTGCAGCCATGATGACACGTTGAACCAGACTGTCACGTGCTTTCGTGAATCACGTGAGTATATAGCGCAGACGTAGCGTCGTGGTGCGTTTAAAACCGTCGGAAAATATAGTTCTAGAAAACAATTGTAATTTGAACATTTCTGGGCCTTGACATTTAATTTAATTTATTCGTTTGTGCGATCACGTTACGGTGCGTGTAATGTGTGTACCATAATGTATTAAACATAATTATTGGCTAAAGGAAATTTTACCGTGTTGCAGACAGATACAGAGAAGCCCAGAGCATAACAGAATATGAGCACGTGAAGAGGGGGAGGCTACTCCTCCAAATCAAGTAAATCTATGCAGGCTATATTACCTTTGTGGGTCACAACTGGTCACAACTGACTACAAAGCCAGGCTTGGGCCATGTGTTGATTCACAAAAGGCACTCTGCATAAATTCAATTATTTAGCGTACAATACTTTAATAATTGTGTTTTTATGTTCATTAAGTTGTTCCATTCACTCCAGTTGCCCTTAGTTAAAGGGAGGATGTCCTCTCCGAAGGAAAACTCTGCAGACATGTCAAGCCTCTACGCCTACCACTGTGGAGGAAATACCCCTGCATCCAAAACGTTATAGCTCTCCGTAGCTCTAACCAAGTTGTGCAACAGTTGCACTCTCTGCTTCAGTGCCAGAGGCTTAATTGCTTGCAGCCTTTTGGACAATTGCAAGTTACAGACTACTGAGAGGACCACTATCAAAGACACAAACAATATCTTGAGCTTGGTCAATGTATGGAATTTTAAGTAAGATCCAAACCTGGGGGACAGGATCCAAGGGATCATCGCGGATAAAAGGGTAAAATGTCCAAATTGTTATTTGAATTATGATGAAGAAACGGGAAGTTAAATACGCTCATAACTTAATAACTCGTAACTCATAATTTATTTTTATATGATTACTGTTCTATAACATCTTTATTAACCAGAAAGTAATTATATTCTTCCGTATAAGGATATTAGGATCTGTAGGTTGCTAGGAGAAAAAAGTTGGGAATCATGACCTGTAGGACGAACTGAAAATTAAACAGGGAGTGACTTGATGGGTTATGGTCAGTGTTGGGAAGGTTACTTTTAAAATGTATTCCCCTACAGATTACAGATTACATACACCAAAATGTAGTTTGTAATGGAATCCATTGAGGTATTTAAAGTGAGTAACGTAATCTGAATACTTTGGATTACTTGATTTGCTGTAGAGAAGCAAAGACAAGGATATTTTCGCATAAGAAATTTTTGTCTGCTTAAAGACAATAAAAAGCCCAGACCTTCCGTAACCGTATTAAAAAAATATTATTGATAGAAGAGGAGGAGACACGGTCCGCGCGGCATGGTTTAGTCCTGTTAAATCCTGTTTTAGACCTGGTTTAGTCCTCTTAAATCCTGTTTTAGACATGGCTTAGACCTGGTTTTAGACCTGGTTTAGACCTGTTAAATCCTGTTTTAGTCCTGGTTTAGACTTGGTTTAGACCTGGTTTTAGTCCTGGTTTACTCCTGGTTTAGAGCTAGTTTAGACCTGGTTTAGTCCTGGTTTAGTTCTGGTTTAGATCTAGTTTAGACCTGGTTTAATCCTGGTTTAGTCCTGGTTTAGACCTAGTTTAGACCTGATATTAGACCAGGTTTTAGACCAGGTTTAGACCTGGTTTAGTGTCCGGCAATGAATGGAATTACAGAAAAAATAGGGAGGGGATATAGCCCAAAATGTAAAAACAGGACAATATTGCCGTGTAATCCATTTATTTCAACAAAGTAACTGTAATCCAATTACCACTCACTGAAACAGTAACTGTAACCGAATACAGTTACTAATTTGTACTCTGATTACGTAACTCCGGTACATGTAATCCGTTACTCCCCAACAATGGTTATGGTCTTCATCTTCTAAATGTCCAGGAATGGTAATTTGCATAGGATCAGATTAATCTGATGACTGCTGACCACAGATCTCCTACCTTTAAAATGATTCCATATTATTAATCATATACGTTCAGTGCCTACAATAATAAATCAAATTGATCCAAACCTGTTGTAGTTATTTTTCAAACCAGTGGACAGGGACAGCTCAGTGCCCCAAGTAAGTTTTCACAAGAAGAAAAAGTCAATTGCTGCCTTACAATAATGCTTCAGTCTATTAGGCAGATAGTGGACTGTGGCACAGAGGCTATTGGCTGACTTTATTTATTTGCTTCAGATGGTCAGGCAAGTGTTTAATTAAAATGGAAAAGCCACTGCATTTTGATGACTCAGTTGGAAAACAAATGTCTCCGCAGTCAATTTTGTCAGACAATTAAGAAAGTAAAAATACATCAGTTATCACAATTACAATGATAAAGTATTGTTCTGCTCTGTGCAAGTGTATAGGATGTAAAACATCATTAGTGTCTGCACAGATCAATTTGACTTTGGCAGGTGAAAATGATCAATGCAGGCTCATATACCTCACCCCAAGGTCAGTATGCTCTCCTCCTAATGCAACTGCCACAGCCGGACCATTCACTCTGTGAGGGCTGTTCAGATTGACTTTACATTCTTTTAAAAGTAACCTGATTGATTTCTGCTTTCTTTCAAATTCCCTGTTAATTTTATAATAATGTTGAAAGTAGATTGATTGTTTAAAAAGCAATATCAACTGCTGGGAGCAAGACATTTTTGTCTTGTATATGCTTTATTGGGTAGGACAGATTTAAGTGTGAAATGGGTTGAGTTGGGATAAACATTCAACAAATTATTAAGATTAGCACAGAGCCTGGTATGACCTTGTGACAGAACTACTATTCTATTTGTAACTCCTTTTTTACATGTATAACTGATTGATACAATGCAGAGTTGTTGTTTTTTTTATTAAATCAAATTATGCTACAGACAACAATACAGCCCTTCAGCCCTGTCTTTAGCAGATTTGTCAGGAAGTCAGCTGGGTGTAAAAAACCTTCCTATTGTAGGTGTAATGCGGCGTGAAGTCATTTTTGATGCAGTCACTTTGCATACTTTTCAACAACTAAATGAGAAAATGTTGAGCTGAGCCTTTTCAAAAATATGACTTTAATAAAGTAATAGTGTGACAGATGGTCCCAGTGGGGATCAGAGAGACTTGTGTGGCCTCTGACTGATCAAAGGACATTTGTGAGCAGGTTAAGCCGCTGTCACATGACCCATAACCCACAGCAGATGTTTATGATTGGACCGGATTAGGGGCACCACATATTTCATCATGATTTGTTCAGCTCAAATTTTAAAAAACTAAGGGCTTAAGCTGCCAAATCATTTTAATTACAGTGGTCATGGAATCCAATGTCTGTGAGATGTGCCAGTCCAGACGACATTACCCAGAGCTATGCCCAGAAGTTGAAAGCCTGGCATCAGTTTTTAGTTTTTCAGTCAAGATTTTCTATTGCAAAAACAAAACAAAAACATCTTAAATGGTCCAGGTGCATCAATACATGGAAAGGTTGCCTCTTGTAATTGATGGTTTGGCCTTGTGGCATAATAACAGTTTGTATTTTTTCCTTGTGATGTGTATTCTTAATTCAGCTCTTCAGCTTTGTGTGTTTCATGAGTTAATCACTCACAGGCTGTAATCACATGCTTTTCAATGTGGACAATAATTACTACAATGAAACAGCTCCCATGTATTAACAGATTCTCTTGTTTTCCAGGCCACACAAATCATGTCTCATGCCTTTGTTTTACATATGAATTTATGAAAATCATTGATCACTGATATTTTGTCATTGTTACTAGTTTTGACGTTATATTTTTCCATGCATTTTTACTGACACTGATATGTGAAACCAGGAAGCTTTAATGTGATGAAAAATTTGCACCGTCGCAATAGTAATTAACAAACTCTTCAGAATGTCACCTAAAGAGAAACCTGGAACCTGGCTTGTTTGTCTTTCTCTTTTTAACTTGCCACAGAAATCTGTGTTTGTATTGTTTCTAAACCTGCTTCATAACAGTTTGCTTTTTTTTTTCTAATTTGTACATTATTGAATTTATGTAAGCATGAAAATATTAAATACTAAATGACTTTGGTTCTGACAAGAGACCAGCAGAGGGCTCTTCTGTGTTTGGTCTTTTAGGTTTTGGTGCTGTCACAAAATGAAAAATACTTGGGAGGTATCAGTAAGGCTCATATTAACAATAAAAGAATGAGATCTGAAGGCGTGATGATTGGTCACTTCTTCCATGAGTGGGAAAGGATGTGGGGGAGAGCCAATGGGAGTCCAGAGAATATAGCATGGTAATCAAACCAGAATGACTACAACAAACATGAGGTATGGCATTACATTCACCAAGTTTGTCTGTTTTCAAGTTTGTGTATTTTGGTGAGTTCTCTTGCCCACACTAAAGAGGAGACCAAATGAACGTAATAAGCAGTGATAGGCCAATGTGTCATCATTTCACACAAACATCGTATAATTAGCTCAAGGTAATGAGAGAAGTTCTGCAAGAAGCCAACAGTTATTTGACCCCAGCTGCTTGGTTCTGAAACTTTTTTTTTTTTTTACATTAAACAGTGTAGACGCATAAATGATAGTAGTTACACATATAAGATAGAATGAAGTGTCAATATTACATTAATGCGCTGTACCTGATTTTTATATCTGATTTTATTAGGTTTTGATTCGATTTTTAGTCTTATAAATGTAAAAACAAAACAAAAAAAATCAGAAGTACTTCATTTTAAACAGCTTGTAGTAGTCCACATTTTACTGCTCACTTACCTCACATTCCGAGCATCTTAATTATTTGCTGCAATGAGTTTCAAAGCAAAGCCTTCAGAGACAAGAGCAGAATATAGCCACCATGGTAATGCTAAGAACAACTAGCATGCTAATGGTGCACTTTCTGATTATTAGACACTAAAACCTGTGCATGAGTGTGTCCTGTTTAGCCTGTGGTCCTCTGAAGTTTTCCATTTGATGTTAAATAACAACAGTAATTTTCCCTAGGATTTTGGTGTGTCAGTTAGACTTATTGGCAAATCTCTGTGA